TTTTTTTTTTAATATTTGGTAATATAAATGATTGGTTTTTGTCTAAAGCAGCATATTGCAGAATTCTGTGCAAAAACGCCTAAATTCATTATTTAATTTCCCGTAGGATGAACATAGTAATTCAAGTTGGATTTATATACCATTAAAGTATGTTGTGCTTAAATGAATATGCGATATTATAGTATCTATCGCAATAAATATTTAGGCCAGTGATTTTTATTTAATACCAATGACTTATTGCCAATTTTATGAGCGTAACGTCAAACTCACTGAAACGATCTCCAAAGAAGATATCTTAAAAAACTATTATTAGAAATTATTGATTTTTTGTATATATAATCATCTAGAATTCTAGAAGCATAGAATTTTCTATGTTCAAAGCCACCTAAATCTCATAATTTATGCTGGTATGTTGCAATCCAGAAATCTATTAGCAGTTTGAAGAAGAATTCGAAGCGTTTGCGTAAGGTGAACTTGTTAGGATATATCACAAGGTTAGTCAGGCAAAGGAAGGAACAGGCCAAAGTCCATTGCAGCAGATATCGTACGATCTTATGATGTTCTCAACTTCTCAACATTCGCTCGACCGGCGGCCGACATTCCAAAACGTCAATGTTACTTTTGTAAAATACGCAATTTAGCATCGACATCATATGTGAACTTAATGATAAAAGTGAGGAGGTGATTCACGGCTTTTCAATCTCATAATTATATTCATATGTCAATGACACATAAATCCAAAAGAAATATCGTTAATATATTTTACGATCAGGTAAATTAAAAGACAAATTATTTCTGTATTAAATATGGTAATGCTGTTGTAACAAATAGTCATTAGATTTTAATTATGCTTTAAAAATGTAATTAAATGGAATTTCAGAATGAAGAATCGGGTTCAATAATCGCTTCGAACTTAACAGTAGTATATGATCATGATTTTAAATTAAAAAAATTAATGCCTGGTATGTCTCCAACGAAACAATTCATCGAGACCTAAACATCAAATATGTGCAGGAAGCTATCAAGGAGAGAAGTACGAAATATCAAAGGAGCGCATATCATTCAAAAACTCCAATAAAAGACCTGCTAAAACAAGTACCTATGAGAAGATTAAAAAGAAAGTGGCCGCAAAATTTCATAAATTAACAATCAATATATTTATGTAAGAAAATTTTTAAAAGCCCTGTACCCGTCAGCAAATAACCTCATTGAACCCAAGGTTCAGATTGGTTATAAGAAATAAATAAAAAAAAAAAATCAATGCACATCAATAACTACAATACTGACAAAATATATATTATATTCACTAAACCAAATGATTGATGTTTTGAGAGCAAATCCTCAAATCCAATGCTCACCAAGAATTGTTGTATGGTAATGAGACATAAGGCATTTGAATGCAACATCCAGAAACTTGATGATTATGTAATAAATCATATCATTAGAAAAATTGAATAAAAAAATAGTCATACATATTTTTTGTTAAGTCAAATGGTACATGACTTGAGAGCAAAAGGTGCTCGCAGAATTTTTTTTAAAGATAAATGCAAAATAAATGCTGGTAATAAGATATTCTACATTTGAAGGTAACCATTTAAAAACTTCAGATTATATGTAAAATTATGTAATGCTAATACGATAAAAAGAAGTATTCATACTTATTTTCTGTTAAAAAGTCACATAAGTCTAAACCTAAGTCAAATGTTTGAAAGCAAATCAAAATTCTGAATTCAAAACATGTTCGCAAAGACTTTTTAAGATCAATAAATGCTGGTAATAAGACGTAAGACATCAGAAACCTACCATTAAAAATCTTGATAATTATGTAATATAGTATTTCAATGCAAAATTGCACTGAAAAACTATTCGTACCTAATTTTTGTTATATGAAGCCTAAAACTAATTGTAAGCCAAATGGCAGAGCAAAAAACAACCCTAACCATAAATAATTTATTTAAGATACATGCAAAATTAATGCTTGAAATTAGACGTCAGACTTCTAACTAAACCATATCTGAATCAATCATTAAGAAACTTGATAACTGTATAATTTAAATAAGTAATACAAAATTGCAATAAAAAAGCATTCATAAAACATACCCAAAAAAACATAAAAAAAAATTCATAAAACTAACCCAAAAATTTGATTACAAATAGCTCATATAATGATGTTTGTTCTGGTTGCTGTTGAAAAATTAATAATTAAAAAATTAAAAGGCAAAAAAATCCTGAATTCAAAACATAATCACGAATTTTTTTTAAAGATCAATGCTAAATAAATGATGATGATTACACATAAAATACTTGCAAGTAAGCATTGAAAAACTTCATAATTATGTAATAAAATATTATAATACAAAATGCGAAAAAAATATTAATTATTAGTTTCTGTTCTACAAAACTTATTATTTGGATTGAAAAAATATTACTATTTATTATTAAATAACAGAATAAATTTATACTTCAAGTATGAGATAAATTAGTGGTATGTCTAGATATATTTATTTAACTGCAAAGGAATTTCAACACATCCCAAGTTTATATACAAATTACGCAAAATTAATATCCTCCACGTTACAAAACATTCTATGAATATATTAAATAAATAATAATCGAACTCAAGAACGGATGTTAGACGTTTTTATATTGAGCCCGTATAAAACATAAATGCCTTT